CAAACGCACAGCAAGGTCTTATGCCCGTGAATATTCCTCTTCGGCGTTGAAGCAGATGGTTGGCCGGGGTCCACCCATGATTTTTTCCGCTTGGAATTATCAAAATAAATACATTTTTCATCGCCAGTCACGATGCGCCACAAAAAACTCTTTTTTCTTTACCTGACAAGCAAAGAAGTCGCAATAGTCAAACGATTTGAAATGGCACTTTCTGACAACTCATGTGGTAGCCATCTCCCTTCCTTATGGCTCTTTCCAATGGCATGCAAGTGTTTTAAGACGGCCATTGGAGTAACATTTAACTATTTCGACAACTTTAAAAGCGTTTGAGCTGGATTCTCATCAAGCAATTCCTGTAGCTCGAAATCTTCAAATTTTTTCGGCTGTCTTGGAAGTTCTTTGTCTCTCACATCAAAATTACCGTTTCGGAAGCGTTCAAACCAAATTCTACACGTTCTTTCCGATGGAGTTTCATCACCATACACTTCGGATAATAAGCAATGCGCTTCAGTTGCGGTTTTCTTGAGGTCGAAGTAGTGAAGAAGCACACGTCGGAAAAACAGTTTATCGCGATTCATTTTCAGTCGATTGGAAAATCTCTTTGGCGTCGAGAAATCTAACCTGTGAGGATTGAATCACTTTCAGCGATGTCTAAACTACAAAAGACATATGACTTCATCGTCGAAACTCGCCAGCGTTGGAGCCAGCACCCTCTAGTAGCGAGCGGCAGGAATTAAGTTTAACACCTAATATAAACGTATAATTTAATTTTTCATATAATTTTAGCTTGAGTTCTCATTGCCACTTAGCTTTCAAACTTTGTGAGTATGTGACTTACCTCACAACAGTAAATAGTTCAATTTTTTTTAATGAAAAACGTTGCAGGTATCATTTTGTCATGCATTACTCCAATTATACCTAATTTTATTTTGAAATATATATTTTAAGCTAAACACATCAAGCGTTGTGGCTGGATGCTCCTTATTGTTTACAATACTCCAATTGTTGCGTTAGGGTGAAAGAATACTGATGAAGATACAAACCATGAGTGGAAACGTTCAAAATTAAGGTTTACATTTTTAGTATTAAGAAAAATAGCGCTAATTGATAACACAGGTCTACAAAATTCACTTTTTTTTTTTTATGTGAGACTGGTTTTTGACGTATTTTTGTGCTCTGAACATGATTCTGGGGTCCAAAAGTGCCCATCACGTCACGATTTTGAGAAATGTGAGGGTCAAAACCGCAAAAATCGTGTTTTTGGGTGTTTTGATCCCTATTTTTCTCAGAAACCAGATGAGCTAGAGACTTCAACCTTTACTCAAATTAAAGCTTGAATCTTATACCACAAGAAACATATATGCCAATAAAAAAAAAATATTTTGTATAAAATGGGGTTAAACTTTAAATTAAGTGAAACCTCTACGGCCCAGTTTTTATGATCGAATTGCAAATTAATAAATTATATTTATCTAAGCTCATGAAAGTGACTACTCGAAGGTTTTCGGGATCGCTGATTACAAATTCGATGTCAGTCTTATGAAATTTAAAATGGCGGATCCAAGATGGCAGATGCGAAAATCGGAAAATTGAGCAAAGGGCATCAAATTGAGCATTCGTGTGTTTTTGAGGTCGTTGATTACGAATATTAAATATAATATGGCGTTAATTTAAACAAAAATATGGCGGGCAAAAGTTGAGGTAAGGTCATAAAAAGAATCACTCGTTGGTGAAGGTAAGAGTAGATTTATATCCAAGTAGTGAAGGCGATACAAGCAATTTATCCAACATTCTAATGTAAGACAGGTGAAGACGAAAAAACTTACAAAGTGGTATTAAGTTCGTGTGTGATATCGTGTCCGTTTTTGGTCAAAACTACGAGATTTTGATTTTCTTTTATAGGAATTGTCGGTGTCTTCCCTTTCGAGGTTCCAGCAGTAATCAGCGAGCATGTGTGAGTTCCATCTCCCTTAATACCTGCGTTCCATATTTTTTATGTCTTGATGGAAGCGTTCGCCTTGCTCTTCGTTTACATCACCCAAATTTTGTGGAAAGAAGCTTAAATGAGAATTCAAAAAATGAAGCTTTAAGCTCATATTACATCCCAGTTCCTTGAAGTCTTGTAACATGATGCGAATAAGGTTTTCATAGTTTTCTTCCTTGTTATTGCCCAAGAACCCTTTAACAACTTTTTTAAAACTTTGCCATCCATTTTTTTCTTTTACATTCAGTGTTTTTTCAAAATTATCGTCTTTCATTAAAGTTCCGATTTGAGGACCAATAAAAACACCTTCTTTAATCTTCGCTTCACTCAAAGATGGAAACTTTTTTTTAAGATAAAGGAAACATTCGCCTTCCTTGTCAAGTGCTTTAACGTACTGCTTCATGAACCCAAGTTTTAGATGAAGGGATGGTAACAGAACGTCGTTTGGATCAATTAAAGACTCATGTACAACATTTTTTGTACCTGGTTTTAATGATTCTCGAATCGGCCAATCTTTCTCAATCCAATGTTGATCTCTTGCTCTACTATCTCAATGGCAAATAAAGCAAGGAAACTTAGTGTACCCGGCCTGTTGCCCTAATACCATACAAATTACTTTTAAGTCTCCACAAAGTTTCCATTGATGCTTCTTATACTGCACACATTCAAATACTGTTTTCATATTTGTATAGTTTTCTTTTAGATGTACTGAGTGAAATATTGGAATTGATGCATATTTGTTGCCGTTGTTTAACAGTACACCTTTTAAGCTTTTTTGCGAGGAATCAATAAAGAAGCGCCACTGTTTGGGATCGTACTTAATTCCGAACTGCTCTATTAATCCCTGTACATTATTACAGTAGGACATAGAATCTTTATCAGTAAAGAATTCAATAAATTTTTCCTCTCGATTTCTGTACCAGCAAAACGTTACATCAGGTTGAAGCAAATTACGCTCTTTTAATCTAGAGCCCAATAATTCTGCCTTATCCTTTGGTAAATCTAATTCTCGTACAAGATCATTCAATGAAGATTGACTGAGCAATTTAGGGCTGCCATCATCATCTTCAAAATTATCAACTTCATTGTTGTCATTATCGTGTAATTCCTCTTCACGAGAATTTTCATTATCAAATTCCACCTCGGTGGAACTGGAAGAATATCTGTAAGTGATACAGGAACTGGTTTACTTGCAGACGAAACATCTGGATAAACAATTGCTTTCTTATTTTTAGAGTTAAAACCGAATACATTGCAGGAACAAAAATAGCATACATCATGACTAGAAGGTTCACGCCAAATCATGGGCACACTAAACGGCAAATTTTTTATTTTTCCTGTGTCCCATAATCTTAAAAATTGAGCACAAGATTGACAAACTTTATGAGGTACCCAATTTTTGTCTTGATTTTCTATTTTTCGTCCAAAGTAGTTAAAATACGCTGTTGTAACAAAATCATTTATATTCAGACGTTGTTTCTCACATGTATATTGACCACAAATATAACAAAATTTGTCAGGACTATTAACGCAAGACCTTCGCGACATTTTTGTAATTAGTAACTGACTGAGATAAAAAAAATTTTTTTCAGCGTTATACCAAATACAAATTAAGTTTATACTATGAGAATTAAATATGCGATGATAGAAAGTCGACAACTGCAAGCATATAACACGTAATACGTATTTATTACGGCAAAAGACAACTGGAGCGCCCCGGAACACCGCGTAAACACTACAGCTTTTTTAGTCACCGCCAGGCATTTATAAGGGCTTGCGACTATTGACTCCTACCATTACATCTGACTTTACTTATTCACCGCAAGTCGCTTTGTATTTTCAGATCGGAATAACATATGGAGCATTTCGCGTCCCACGATGAAAATGAAAAATTTCGGGAAAACTATCTACAACATTGGGAAGCTGAGGGAAACATACATCATTATTACGTTCTTTGTTTCTTTCTTATAAATGGCCCAGACACGAGTTAGAAGTAACGTGATTTGAGGCTCGCGTACCGCCCTGGGAAATTTGGCGTGACATGTCCCATATATTGTTACTTTTTTTGTTATTTTTTTTTAAATTTAATTTTAATTTAATTTTAATTTTAATTTAATTTTATTTTAATTAAAAATTACTAGTTATTTTCACGAGCTTAGATAAATGTAATTTATTAATTTGCAATTCGATCGTAATAACAGGGCCGTAGAGGTTTAACCCCATTTTAT